GTGGAGGAAACACAGCAATAAAGAGAGGGGCTGAGTTAGGGCATGTTCTATTGGCACCCACTGATGTGGTCCACAGTGACTAGTGGTGAGAGAGAAGAGGATTGGCTGGCCAGTCTGAAGTTTAGGGAGTTGTGTGAACTCCTGAGCCCCTGGGGGCTAGGATTGTGACAAAATGAAAGAACCACCTGATCTGAAGTGTAGGGAAGTGGGTGTGAACTCCCAAACTTGCAATATGGTACCCATTTGACCTAGCTTGGTTGGATGTCTAGGGCTGAGTTGACCAGACCCCGACCAGATGAAGATAAAGACATTTGATACGTTGTTGTTGTTGTTGTGATTAAGTACCTTCGAGTCCGTTCTGGACCATAGCAACCCTGTACAGGGTTTCTGAGGCTGTAAATCTTTATACGAGCAGAAAGCCTCATCTTCCTCCCCTGGAGTGGCTGGTAATTTCGAACTGCTGACCTTAAGGTTTGCAGCCCGATTCGTAACCGCTATGCTACCAGAGCTTCTTGAGCAAGTATAAATTGCTACAATTTGATAAATTGGACTTTTGCTTATGCATGCAGTTGCTCAAAATGGAAGATTCTTAAGATCAAGAAACATGCTTTTCTCCTCAGAATACTGGGTTGATAGGGATGGGCAGTGTAGAAATTTGCTATAAAAAATGGGATATAAACACAAAAATGGGATATACTTAAAAGGTATCATAGGTGTGCATAGTTTCAGAATGAGGGGGGACAAGGGAGAATTTCCAATGAGTAGTTTTCCTCTATTCTAGATGTATCTGGTGAAAGAGGGTGGGGGAAGCTGCTGATAGAATTTTATAATTCAATTGTGAGTAACAGTAGGATTCATTGTGATTTTCAAAATTGTAACTGTCTTTGTTATTCAATATCTAACTTTCTTAAGTCCTCTTTGATTTCAGCAAGGTTGTATCATCTGCCTGTCATAGATGCTTTTTAGTCTTCTTCCTATCTTTTTTTTCTTATTTTTTAAATGTCATATTGGAAAAATCTTAAGGGAGAGTGTTCTTTGTGATGTAGAAAGACGAACAGCCATATTAACAGTGGTTACCAAACTAAAATCTTGCTCAAATACATTTCAAAATATAAAATAATACAAATGTTATTTTCATCGTGGGTATAGGTACATATTTGTGTATACATAAAGATTGGTAAACATGCTTAAGTGTTTGTCACCCAAATCTCAAATCTCTCATGTCTTGCCTTGAGGTCAGATATCACATCTTTTTTACATTTTATTAACTTGTCTTTCCTTATCCCATCCTGAAATTTGGTCTGAAGAATCACAATGTGTTGCCTTTCCATCTTTCATGAGCTAATCATTCAGATTGCAAAATGCCTTACACATTATTCAGTAATTGTCTCCTGTTGTTATTATTATGCTACAATTCAGTGAAGAACTGACAAAGAGAACATTGTCTTTCCAAATTATATACATCATTTTAATGGTAATATCAGAATTAAGATGCCATGCCCTTCTCCAAACGGGTGAGAAAATCCTTAGCCTGGCTGAAGGAATTTTTCAGTGTCTCTTCTCTCATTCAGCCTTATTTGTCTGATAGTTATTTTGTATCAGTTGGAAATTCAAGTCCACCCAGAGATGACTTGGAAGAAAAGCCTGACAAACTACTTTTGAAAAACTTTCTTCTATCTTGATGTCACATTATTTATATAATCCAGTTTGTCGGATTATTTTCTCATCATACAGATTTAAGTATGGTAAAAGGTTATAACCCTGATGCACATCATCTTTGCTGCTTTTAAATCATTCAGTGTCGCCTTGTTTTGTTGTAATGGTTCCTCATAAGCTCAATTAAGTGTTCTAGTATACCCATTCCTTGCAATGTTATTTATAGTTTGTCATGGTCCACATAGTTGAAAGCCTTTGCATAGTCAATAAAGCACAAGTAAACGTCTTTCTGGTATTCTCTCCTTTTAGCTAATTTCAGTCATACTCCAAAATATAACTGAGTAAGAGTTCCCTATTCAAAGTAGAGTTGACAATAATGACTTGGATTCAGCAATGCTTTCATGACCTTTATTTCTTAATGGAGTACAACTCAAAATGAGAATAAACAGCTGCAAACACCCATTACTAATAACATGGAATTATGAACTATCAATCTAGGAAAATGGGAAGTTGTCAAATATGAAATGGAATGTATAAAGATTGATATCCTAAGTATTTGTGAGTGGTTCAAACCCACTAGCTGCTCCTTGAAAACACCATCCAGGCCCCTTTCTAAGACTAAGACTCAGTGGGAATGCTCGAGCATACATGTGCTCTGATTGGTGACCACGTTCGTCACCAATAAGGGGAAGTGATTGAAAAACAGCAATGAAGCTGCGAACTAAACCCTACAACATTCAATAGACTCCTGTGTACCCGGCTGGAGACCTGGTTGGCCAGCAGTGTGGCAAGACCTGGGGACTCTTGGACCCAGAGTCAGTGACATAGCCACAGAGGACTAGAGTGGAGAGTGAAGCGTCCAGCTGATAAGAAGAGAGGGCATATGCGTAAGAACACCCACACTTGCAGATAATACCCACTTGACCTGGCTTCCATGACTGGATGATCAGAGCTCAACTAGAAGAAGAAAGAAGAGGAAAAAAGAGGAATCTGATACAATTTTATGAACCTGCCCTAACACCCATGGATGCAGTAGCTCAAAAGAGGGAACAAATCTTTACAGCAAGGATCATTCCCACCCCCTCAATACACAGAGTAGTAGACAGGGATGGGCAGTTTGGACATTGGCTACCCAAAATGGGGGTGCTACAAAGGCAAGAAGTGACTGGCTTACAAGCTTTCAAGAGGGAGCCTAGATCCAGAGGATGTTGAGGAAGGTAGAATCTCCACTGAATAGTGTCCAGTCTGTCTGGGCAGGGCTGATAAAAGGAGATGGGGATAGGTCCCTTGTGATACAATAGTGAATAATAGTTATCAGGACTGACTGTGAGGGTTGGAAATGTAAAGGGAGATGTTTTGTAGCAAATGGAGGGGAGTGATTGACTTTGCAGTCTAGGAGCAGAGGTTCCTGGGACCATCAAGGGAGAAGAGCGGCTAGCAGGACCCTACCCAGAGAAGCAGTGATGCCAGTGATGGAGGCAGAGACGATGACGTGGAGAGATGGAGTGGCTAGGGACCTTAAACCCACAGAGGGAGATGGGCTGTGTGCTGATGAAAGGAGATGGGGATAGGTCTCTTGTGTTATAATAGTGAATAATTGTTATCAGGACTGATTGTGAGGGTTGGAAATGTAAAGGTAGATGTTTTGTAGCAAGGGAGGGGAGTGATTAACTTTGCAGTCTAGGAGTGGAGGTCCCTGGGAGAAGAGTGGAGTGTGGGAACCTACCCTGAGACACAGTGATGCCAGAGATAGAGGCAGAGACTATGACATGGAGAGATGGGGCAGCTGGGGACTCTAGACCAGAGGGAGCGGGGCTGTGTGCTGACGACCGAGGGGGCAGCCTTGCAGGTTGGTTGATGATGCATGGAGGGGTTTGTAACCATGACAATAAAATGTTATACCATAGGATGATTGTAAAGCTGATGTTCTCCTATGTAGACTATCATATAATACATAATAAAATATTTTAAAACCAAACAAAACCATGCAGAGTCCTGTAAGTTGACAGCGACTCAATAGTAGTTAATAACAGTGAGCTGAAATGGAATGGTATTGACCGTTTTGAATCAGACTTTCATATGATATGGTTTATGATGTTAGGAACGAAAAATTCAAGAGGAATGGTATTTGTTGCATTCATTGTCAAAAATAAGTAAAATCTATCATAAAGCACATATACAGGGTCCCTTTGGGTCGGCACCAACTTGCTGGCACTTAGCAGCAATAACAAAATACATGTGCTGTCTGTGGTAGGATAATATCCATAAGCCAAGAGGGGAAACCATTTAACACCATTATTGAAATTTATGCACCAACCACAAAGCCAGTGATGATAAATTTGAATCAGCTTCTTCAGACTGTAATCAAGATGCATTGATAATTACTGGTAATTGGAATGCAGAAGTTGGAAACAAAGAGGCCGGATCAGTAGTTTGATAATACAGCCTTGGCGATAGAAATGATGCTGGAGAATGCATGATAGAATTTTGCACAGCCAGTGACATATTCATTATAGATAACTTTTTTTTAGACAATATTAAAGGCGACTATACACATGAACCTCACCAGATGGAATACACAAGAATCTGATTGACTGAATCTGTGGGAAAAGATAGTCAGGAATAGACTGTGGACCAGACCCATCAAGTGCTCATATGCAAGTTCATGCTAAAACTGAAGAAAATTAAAACCAAGTACATGAGAGTCAAAAAATGAACTTGAACATATCCCACCTGAACTTAGAGACCATCTCAAGGACAGATTTGATACTTTAGACACTAATGACCAAAGACCAGAAGAGCTGTGGGCAGACATTAAGAACATTGTATAGGAAGAAAGTAAAAGGTCATTGTAAAGACAGGAGTGAAAGAAAAGACAAAATCAATGTCAGAAGTAATCCTGTAATTTGTTCTTGAATATAGAGAAACTTAAGCAACTGAAAGAAATGTAGAAGCAAAACAGCTGAACAGAAAATTTCAGAGGGCTATTCAAGAGAAGACAAGGTAATAGCGTGAAATACGAAAATATCTGGAGTTAGAAAACCAAAAAAGGAAGAACACTAAGCATTTCTATGCTGAAAGAACTGAAGAAAAAAAAATTAGAGGTAGAAGCTGGGGTTTAAAATCAGGCTTTTAATCCTCCCAGTATACCCTTTTTATTACACTGGCCTGCTTTTGCATTATTGTTAATCAGTAGGTTTTCTTTGTTTTTGCATACAGTTTCATTCTCTGATTTCTTAGCATTTAAAACAGCTAATTAAGAAGACTTTTTAGTATTGTGTGGTGAAATGTAGTTAATGTGTAATTCTTTCTCATACCATAATGAATTTTTGGTGATGTTTCAGCACAAAGATGTGTCATGGCAATGCTGAGGAAGAGAATCAAGGATGAGAAGACCAATGTTAGGAAATCTGCACTCCAGGTGTGAATTTTTTCTATACTAACCCCCCCCCCCCCTTCTGTGCTATCTTCATAAGGATTAAAATCATGAAAGTGTAAAAGATGGTTTTGAAAAATGCTTAGGTTCTATACATTAATTAACCTGCTTTTCATTAAATTGATAGTTGACTCATATCCTTTATATCAGAATTATATAGATGAACTAAAGGATTGTCTGTTTTTAAGGTTTTTCTTGAGTGCTGCCTTTTTAATAATCACAGATTTATATCCTTAATTTATTTTTCTTAGAGAGATTCTTAAGACCTGGATGAGTCATGGACAAGCTTCAGTAGGGTTCATGAACCCCCCGAAATTATTTATAAAAATATTTGGTTACATAATGCATATCAAATTTGCTACAGAGAGAGGCCTTAGCTTTCATCAGGTTCCAAAAGATGGGATGTTGCAGGAGGGAGGAATGGATCCATGAACCCAAACTTAAAAACCACAAACTTAAAGGAAGTATCCCCTGGTTTACAGTTTGTAGTTTTGTATTGCTATTATACACAGTCATCACGTTATGCTGCATATATGCCTTCCAGGTACTAGTGAGCATTTTAAAGCACTGTGAAGTATCGGGCATGCAGGAAGACTTGTCAATTCTGCAGGATCAGTGTCGGGACCCTGCAGTGTCTGTCCGGAAGCAGGCCCTACAATCCCTTACTGAACTTCTTATGGTAAGAGGCAGGGAATTTTGTATCTTGTGCATGGTTATTTGGCATGAAACACAACTTAGTGTGATAATTACCTGTAATGAATGTTAATGCTGCTCATGGGAAAGTCTGCCAAGTCCACTGAAGAAAGCAGAAGGAAGAGGCATCATTTAATTTCACATTACAGCTTATATCATAGTAAATATAATTAATTAGTTACTAATGCTAGATAGGGTCTTGGTGTGGCACTGTAGGATAAGCACTGGACCACAAGGTCAGTTTGAACTACAAAATTGGCAGTTCAAACTCACCAGTCATTCCTTGAAAACTCTATACTGGGATGCTGTGGTCTGGGACCAACTCTATGGCATTTAAAAACAATGCTGGAGATTACTAATGGTTAGCCTTTACTTGACTTCAACTGAAATCTCGCATAGAAAAATAAATTTTTAAATTAATTTGGTTAAGCCTAGATAAATTTTTGTCTATTAACACGTATATTGATGATATTGCCAAATGAGCAGATATACTAACATTATGTCTAATTTAGTTATAATATATTAGCATTTAATGAATTTCTAAAGTATATTCATAATAGAAGGCAGAGTAAGCATTGTACCTTTTTTCTTGTCAGCATCTATTCAGTTGTTCCTTGGGCTAAATAATTATTTGCTTTTATCTTGCATTAATAAAAAAAAAAGTATATGCACTCAAGTAATAAAATTATGACTTGAATTGCATGTGCTTAGAATTTCATCACATTGATTTATAATAACGGGTGGTTGAACATTGTTTTCACTGACATTTTGAATTCTGGGTAGTTCTTTTTGTGTTTTTTTTTCCACTTCATGTTTAATTTGCAGTTTCATGTATGATTACTTTTAATATGTCTCTGAAAACATCAGTCACAATTTCAGTGGTTTATGTATATAGACTTTTTTTTTAATAGCATCGGACTTTATGATTTCATAATTTTCATTTCCTAAGGCCCAACCTAGATGTGTCCAGATACAAAAAGCTTGGCTGACAGGAATCATCCCTGTTGTGATGGACTGTGAGAGCACAGTGCAAGAGAAGGCCCTGGAATGCCTCGACCAGCTCCTGCTGCAGAACATTAAGCATTATAATAAATTTCATAGTGGAGATGACGGCCAGGTGCTAGCTTGGTCACTTCTTCCTCTCCTTACTACAGAAAGCCAGGAACTGAGGTATGTCCATTGTGTGACTTCTTTCCTTTACAGAAGGCCTTAAGTGTTCTTATTAACAAATTGACTTAAAAAAAAAAACCCAACTTTATGAAATATATATGTGAAGTCTCAATTTTTTTTCCTTGACTTTCTACTTAACAGTTCATAGTATTTTAATGGTGACGACTGTATTTTTGTGGAATCTGATTACTTTCTTTGATTTTTATTTTTTTCTCATTGCTCTTCAGTTTCATGTTGTTGTTAAGTGCCGTGGAGTTGGTTCCAACTCATAGCGACCTTGTACAGGGTTTCCGAGGCTGTAAATTTTTACGGGATCAGATAGCCTCATCTTTCTCCCATAGAACTGGTAGTTTTGAACTGCTGACCCTGAGGTTAGCCCGATTTGTAGCCACTACACTACCAGAGCTCCTTCTTCAGTTTTATACTTACATCGTAATAAATGTTGTTTAGTGCTGGCAAGTCATTTCCAACTCTTAGTTCCCCTATATAGGGATTCTGAGGAGGGCTGGTGAGTTTGTGGTTATCATACACAAGTGTTTATCATACAGCGCCACACCTGCTGTCTGTCTTAATAAACAGGTAGTAGAAAACATTGATGGATATGGTACTTTAATACTAGCTTCCCTCAGTGCTTGATTTTGTGTATTGTTTTGTCGGTTTTGACACATAGCAGCCCTGTGAAGGGTTTCCAGGGATATAAATCTTACAGAAGCAGAAAAGATTTACGTCTTTCTTCCTCGGAGTGGCTGGTGGATTTGAATTGCTGACCTTGTGGTTAGCAACCCAGCGTGAACCCACCACACCACCAGGGTTCCTTCCACAATGCTAGTTTCTGTAAAATATGACTTCCTAGTTCCTGTAAGCTAAACTTTTCTTGAACCTTTTATTGAATTGGTTGGCTTAATAACATTGCAGTGTTTTGTTGTTGTTGTTTTTTACCCACTTGTTAGCATTTATTATTTATACACTGTGTATAGTAATCATCGTAGCTGTAAGCTTGGAGAACCTATAATGATATGTTTCATCTGTACTGCAGCTGTCTTTCAGTATGTTTATGTATGTGCTGCCTTGGGTGCTTTTTATAACTGTATAATAAACAACATTTATATTTGTATACATATAGGTGTGGAGGAATTGTACAGTAGAAAAGGCAATAGATTTAGCTTCATACAATATTAATTTGCCTTTGCAAATCACCTCAAATCTCTGGGCCTACTTTTCTCATTGTTAAGATGAGCTAGTTGGATTACATGATCTCTTGAGGCCCCTTTTGGCATTAAAACTCTTATGTGTTTATGGTATTGGAGTGTAGAGGGGCCCTCGACCCTGCAATGGAGGTTCCTTGTCTTTTGCTGACCAAGAATGATTGTATTAGACAGTTTCATATGAGCAGAAGACTTAAGGATTTATTGAGAGGAAATGATCTGGCCAGAGGAGACAAGAAGAACTCTAGGCAATGCCAACACCAACCCCTGCCTTCCTGAGCCTTGGCTGGGGTCCTTAGGATACTTGGGCATGAAAGACTCATGTTTGTTTATGATTTCTCTGAGAAAGTTGTGGAGCTAGGATAATAAAGTGTTTGTGCAGTAAGATTTCAAAATGAAGTTCTGCCCAAGATGAAGTCAATGGTGAACACATATAGGGTTGCTAATAGGCCATATTAAGGGATGACACTCTGTCTCTGAACCATGATTCGAATCCCAGATTTGACCTAAGTCAAATCAGCCACCCTCCGTGGAAGGTCATGCTGAAGGGTCAGGGCTAAAGGCTACTACTGTGCATGCTCCAAGGAATGGTTTTTGCTGGTCACTCCTGAAAGACATCTTCATCCTAGGATGTGACTGCCCAGCTGTGCACACTAGGCACTCCCCTACACATCTTCACAATGAGTCAAGTGGAGGGACAAGGCCCTCAACATGCTCCAAAGGTTTAGTTATAACAGTTAAGTCAGTAAGTAGCCCACGTTTAATCCTGACTTTTGAACTCCTTTTTCTCCAAGTCTCATTTATTCATTAAATATTTTCTGAGTACCAGCTGTGTGATTGATTGAAAGGTGTTTTTAAGAGAATTAAAACTTGATTTGAGAGAATAAAACATACACAGAGGAGTAAGTCACTTACATTTGGAATGATCAGGAAAATTCATGAAGGAGCTGCAATTTGAGTTGGACTGTGAATAATAGTGAAAATATTGATAGCACTGTAATAGACTATGACAGATAGGAAAATGACATCAGTAGAAGAGTAAGGTATTTCCATGTTGTGTCATTGTACAGGTGTTCCCAGTTGTTACATAGGCTTTTACCAGTTTGCACTCAACTACAAAGTCTGTTTGAACCACAAGGTTGGTGGTTCAAGCTCAACAGCTGCTCCTTGGAAACCCTACACAGAATCGCCATGGGTCAGAACCTACTCGATGGCACTTAACAACAATATACTGGCACTTTGTGCTTCATATGCCACTGAATACTTTTCTGAGATTTCTAGAAGATAAGGGTATTTGTGAACAATAGAACCGGTTAATCTTTTTCACTTTTGCTAAGGATACGTCATATGCACACTCAGCATATTAAGGCTTCAGGGTAATGAATGGTTGGAGCTTTCTTTCACACAATAGCAGGAGAGACTTACTGTAGCTCATGGGAAACTCTTGAGAAGTTCATTTTGTTTACAAGACATAATAAGCTCAATAAATATAAAAAAAAAATTTGTCCATGCAGTTCTCTCTCGGGTCAGATATAGAACATTACCAGGCTTAAGAAGTACCCTCACTTCCTCTTCTAATCTCTGTCTTCCGCAGAAGTAACTTTTACTATGATTTTTAACAACATATACTAATTTTACACAAGGTTATTGTGTATCACTGTGACTTGTTGATTTTCATTGCTCTGTGTGTGTGTATATACATATGTATGTATGTATACATATATGATAGTTTTTAGTAAATCACAATTCGTTTATCCATTCTTTTGTTGAATAATGGGTTTTAAATTTCTCACTATAGATATAATGTTTCTATGACTATTCCTATATGCATCTTTTAAAAAATAATATTTTACTGTGCTGTTGGTGAAATTTTATATAAAGTTAGGTTTCTGCTTCATAATTTCCACTCATTCAGTTGTATTTTTCACAGTGTGTCAACATAGTCTTTGGGTGATAATGTCAGATAGTCATCTAGTCTGAACTGATCGTCTAGTCTGGCCTTTTAAAAATAGTCAGACATTTCTACATTTTTTTTTCCATTCTACCTGGGACCGTCTATTGTGAACCCAGTCTGAGCAGTAAGTGTTGGTAGCTAGGCACCATCTGATCTTGCCTTCTCATTCTTTAGCTTCTGATAAGTAGTGACCAGTAGTTGTATGTTAGATGGCTAGTCACAGGACTCCAAATGCTATTTACTAGGATGCATTTTAAAGTATATTATGCCAATTGACTGAGTTATCCTCATACTATTAAATAAAGGCTAGACTAACTAGATCAATTGAGAGCAGACTGCCTGAGATTATCACCCAGAGATACTTTTTAAACTTTCCACAGGAGCTATATCCTGAGATCACCTTTTAGTGAAATAGTAGAATGGTGTCCGAAGTTCTCTTCCTTCAAAACCTAGAAAACCAATCTTGGGAGTTGTTTGGTTATGCTATGCATCCAACCCTATTGAGACGGAGGCTTCATACTCAGTTGTGCTCATTTAAAAATGTCATTAAACACATGCATTTCTTCCACATACCCTCTCCAATGCCTCTCTATGTTCTCTCACACCTTACAGCATTTTTAAGAGTAGACTCTGGCAGGGTTTACTTGATCACACAGCTAAAATAGGAGTGACTTAGTGAGAAGAACTAAAGAGATGAACCACTATATGGTTTCCTTTTCTTCCTTTTCTTGCTTTTAACAAAAGTTAATTCTAATGAGTACAACAGCGTTCCAGACAACACTTTATTCTAATAACTACAGGAGGAAAGCGCTATTAAAGCAAACAATCCATGTTTAAACAGGAGTGGAATCAAGGATCACTATCTCGGTCACAAAGAACACCTTATTTTTCTGCCAGTTTTTTAAAATTCTGCTTGTGACTAGGGGCCTGACCCTTCCCCATAACCGTAGCTTTTAACTCTTTGGGTTTCTGAGTAGAAGCCTTTTTTTTCTTGACAATATCTTTGGTCTGGTTCTTGGGTGTTTGAGAGGCTTCTTCCTGACCCCTTCATGGTCCAGGCTAGCTGCTGCCACTTCCCTACACCTGCTACTGAAAGCAGAACTCTAAATCCCAATTTTTAGTGCAGCACAGAACGGCTATGGGAATTTATGGTCTGTTCACTTTGGAGGAGACAAAGGGAGAGACTAAGTGCAATGAGTGCTATAGAGTCTCACCAAGCTTCAAGCCAAATGGGCTCTAAAACCTGTCATCCTCAGTGCCTTTGAGTTGCTTCTGACGCATAACAATCCTATGCACATACACAAAGGAACAGATCCTTGGGCCCCGTGGAAGTAGGAGATGCACAAATTTTTGATAATGTCATATAATCTTTTTATATTTTATTGAAAGCTAGAAAAATGATAAAGGTAATTTGAAGTTCTGAGTAAAGTTATTTTCTATAGCATATATTTGCATTTGGCTGGTGGCTAGGTTAAGGGGGCATTTACTACACCAAATCATTTTAATCCAGTCAAGACCAGAGAATATATGACACTGACCACAGTGATTGGGAGGGTACTTATCCTTCTAGGGTATATCATGTCTAGTCAGAGTTAGGGTATTGAGCAAGCCAGTCTTTTTGGCAGTCCCTTCAATTTGTGTCCTTTTAGTCTAAATCTGTTCAATATACTGGCTTTATAGCCATTTCTACCTGAATTCTATGGAAAAAATGACCCCAGTTTAATTTGGTTCGTATTTTCTGATCATCTTCCTGATTTCTAGCTGACTTAATGGCAATTCTCCTTGTGTTCCAGTACTACTTAATTTTTTTTTTTTTTTTACTTATTTTTGGTATTTATTTC